ATGAACTTTTCACCAACACAAGAGCGGACTTGGGTAAGCATTATCTCAGTGAGATTCCTTGAGACTCAAAATTTTATACAGACATCACCTTTAGTCCTTAGAATCTCAGATCAATGCTACACAAAGTGATTAAAGTGAATAGGGAAATATTGCCAGAAATTTTTTACGATCAAAATTGATTGGTTAATCCCTGTTTGCTTTAAGAATCTTTAAAACTCTCTATAATATTACTGTAAAACTTAAATCTCTTACTTGTAAAATTTTTTAATCCAACTCCCTATCAAGTTTTTGATTTTTCATATTTTCAAATTCTTTTAAATCTCTGATGCCGAAGATTTCCAGTTAAGGTAATTGGTAGTCTGTTTCAAATTTCTATGTACTTCTACGATATAGTATAGAAACAAACAATAAAACGAAGTATTTGAAGCAGATGAGACAAGAAATAAGCCAGATGATTTACTTACAAAAAGAAATAAAATTAATGATTAAAACCATTTATATTACTGAAAACTAGAGATCAGAAAGGGACTTGCACATTTTAGATGATACACAGTTTTATGTCTTATTGATTCTTTTTAAAAAGAATTTCATTTTTCTTTTCTCAGGTCCTTGCACAAAGATGCACGATGAAGCACTTAGAAAAGAGTAAGTTAACATAAGAAAAATCAGCTGTTTGTGAGGAACAGTACCTCAACTTCATATTGTTTGGGGAAATGTTTTTGAATGTTCAAAAAAAAATCACATGGTAGAAGTAGAATTGGTTAATGATCTACCATTTAAATCATTACTTTTCGACTTTCCTAAAGTAATATGCATTTTCTTGTAGGTATAACAAAAGTTCTAAATTTGGCAAGATGGGATATGAAGATGACTTTTTGCGATTTTTACAAGGTCTGATTTCTGATGTAGAGAAGCGAATTCGTAGAGGACATCAGAGACTGGCTTTGAATAATTCCCAGGGCAGCGTAAGGATCTTATAGCCTACATTATGGACTATAATTGATTTAGATTTACTAGAATATGCAGGAATTAATACTTGTAGGCTTAATGTTTATGTTTGGGGAGGATCTCTCTTTAAAAAAAAAGAAGAATAACAGGAAAACAAATTATGCCTTTGATAAGTTTATTATGTGCCAATTGGTTCATATACATGTACATGTCACTTGCTCAAATTAATGGTGAAATAAACTTGTTTTAAAAAACATTCCTAATAGGAGTAATTATAGAGATGTGATTATACAACATAGATATTTGGTGCTTAAATGTATTTTGTTTTGTATTTTAGCTAAGCAGTAATTTGAATTCATTAAAAGATGACAAAATAAAGATGCTGACAGAGAGAATCGCTGATCTTGTACAACAGGTACACTTCCTCATTGAAATATTACAGATTGTAAATGCATGTACAGAGATAATTGTTTGCTAGCTTAACTTTCTTTGTTGTTTAGGCAATCTTTAATTTATTTCCTATTTCATGAAAATAAATGTAATTTTTTGTTCCTTTTGTGCAAATATATTAGTTATCCATGAAAAAAGTTTAAAGAGGGATTTTATTATTTTCTGTAAGAAGGAAACTTAAATCTACGTGTCTGTGCAGGGGTGTTTTGTATACATAATATTGACTTTTGGGTGGAATTTTATGCATGTTTTATGGAAAGTTTTGCAGGCAAATGTTCTGAACCGTGTTGTTCATTTTGAAAGTACAAATTTTAAATTTTACCAGTGTTATAAGTTTCTTTTTAATTGCTATTACTTTAATGATGAGGCATATAGCATTACTTGTGTTTCTCAACAAAGTTTGGGGGGTGGATGTTAGTAGAATGGGCTTTTCTATTTGTCCGTAGATGCGATGTTAAATAAAGACTTAAGACCACTTTCAAGCTTATCTTAAGAGACATCTAAACTGAAACTTGTAGGTAATAAAGTGCATGGTGCATCTATTAATACTTCATGAGATGCACCTTTTGTTGTGCTCCAGCACGGCATATTGATCCTATTCCTATCAATACAACTTAGCGTCATATCTTTGTTGATATGACTGTAGAATACAGTTCAACTTTGTGACTCCAACCTTTATATACGTATATAATCTTGATTATTACTTGCAGATTCTATAAATATCTTACCTTCTCTTTTGTTTTCCTTTTTTTTCTAGGCAGAAGAATTAGGATGTGAAGGTAAAGTAGAAGAAGCTCAGGGTATGATGAAACTTTGTGATCAACTTGAAGAGGAAAGAAGGGAATTGGAGAATGTAAGTTTTACATTTTTTTTGTGATTTTTAAGCAAATTATGCAAATGGATAAAAAGAAGTATCATATGAAAATGTATATACATGTATATACATATTTTTCCCCAAAAAATAAAAATTAATTTTGTACTTGCATTTACATTATCTCAATTACAAATTGTACTTCATTATTGAATTTTAAGTACATTATCAATCCTTGAATGACAGTGCAGTGTCTGTACCCTCTGTTATTTAGTATCAGGGAAGAACTGGTTCCTGCAAGAGGTGATTGGTTTGTAAAGAGAAAAAAAGGAAAAGATACAAAATGCAGTTTAAAAGTTTGTGTAGAATGTAAATATTCAGATAGACCAGTCTTTCATTCTGTAAATGAAGGACAGAGTTCAAAATGAAATAAAACAATCGCTTTAAAGGTGACCAAGTCCTTGAGATTGTAACATTTCATTTTGATTCATATCAGTTTGGGGAAAAAAGACTTAGATTTAAAATTCTGTATTTTTAAAAATAAATTACAAAATATATGAAAAGTAACATCTGATTGGACAAGTTTCAGAAAAAAGACTAAGTCTGAAAACAAAATGAGCTAGAAATTGACTATCATACAAAACATAATGTTGAGAATTGAAGAAAGGTGTTTAATGATGAAAGTGCAGGGGTCCTGAAATCAGCCAAAGCTGTGGGCTGACTGCCTCCTATCTTACATGTGGTAAAGTAGGAGATGGGAAATGCATTGATCTGACTAACACCACTATAGGGAAAAAAAATGTATATTGCAGTATATATAAATAGAAAAGCAAAATCTTAAAAACTACTGTAAAGAAGTAAACAGATTTATAATGTCACAATTTTTGGGGGAAAAAAATTAAAATGACTACGCAGCACAGTGGGGAAAGAAGTAAAAATCTTTATTATTTTCAGTGTGTATATCCTTTAAAAAGAAGATACAATATATCTTAAAACATTTACAGAGTAAGCTTGCACAGCAGTCCAATGAACCGGAGAAGACGATGGAGGTGTGTACTGTGTGTGGAGCTTTACTGGTGGTGGGAGATGTACAGCAGCGTATTGACGAACACTTGATGGGGAAACAGCATGCTGGGTATGCTAGGATCAGGGCCTACGTCGACGACTGGAAACAGGTTAGAGTGAACGAGGGAACTTGTTTCGTATTTTATTGGGTGTCTGGTAACCAATGTGCATCTTTACATTCACAGATCAATCCAATTTGCCTCTATATTTTATTTTTAAAATCCCCTTTAGATGTATTTTTTCCTTTCTGAAATTTTTACAAAGAGACCTGACTTGTATTTAATTTCAAATAAGGCTCTAAGAACAAACAGAAGATAAAAGGAATGTCAAAAGCCATAAGTTACAAGAATCATGGTAAGATCTTTTATCTTCTTAAAAGATACTACAAGTTTTATTTCTCTTTTAGAAAAAGAATCAGACAGATGAGGAGAGAGAAGCCCGGCTAAAAAAGGAGAGAGAAGAGAGGGAAAAGGAAAGAGAAAAGGAAAGGGAGGAAAGGCGACAAAGGGAGAAAGAAAAGGAAAAGGAGAGGGAAGAGCGAGAGAGAGAAAGGGAGGAAAGGGAAAAGAGAAGACGTGAGGAAAGGGAAAAAGAGCGGGAGAAGGAACGCTCCAGACGAAGAAGATCCCGAAGCAGAGACAGGTAGTTATTTGTTTTAAATGTTGAGGATCATTATACAAACTTTGCAAGATTAGCTTCATTTGAAACCAACTTGTATAATTGTAAATTTGGCATTCAGTTACTATGGGTAAATGTATATAAAAGTTACTGTTTATGATTTGTCTAATCATGATTATTATTTGCTTACAGGCATCGTAGGTCAAGAAGTCGGGGACGAAGATCTCGAAGTAGGTCAAGGGACCGTCACCGTTCCCATCGCAGAAGGTCAAGGTCAAACTCCAGATCTCGTACAAGAGACCGTGACTCAAAACGTCGTAGTAGGAGTAGGGACAAAAGCAAGGACAAAAGATCCAGAAGTAGGGATGGAAGGGAATCAAGGGATAGAAGATCCCGCAGCAAGCGATCAAGAAGCCAAGACAGGTCTAGTGACAGGAAATCTGGAGACAAAAGAGAAAAGTCATCAGACAGAAAATCAAAGGAGAAGGACAATGACAAAAGAGATGAGGAAGAACAGAAAGGTAATTTTGAAGGTAAAGTATGAAAGATATGAATGGCAACATTGAATAAATCATTTGTAAACATATTTAATTAAAGAAAATAGATATGAAAGAAGATGATAACTTGTTGCTCTTTATTAGTGGTAGATGAAGTCGGCAATTCTTCAAATGATGCAAATGAACAACGGTCTGAGGCTATGAGTGAGAACGCTGACAGTCAGGATGCTGTAGCTAACGACAGGGAGCCCGAGGACAGCTAGATATTGAGGTGACATAATCTGTGTCAGTTGACACTTACACAGGTAAGTACAGGCCGTGTTGGACTTGTCTTCTTGTCTTCCTTTCAGCTTCCAGGTAAGAGGCCCAACCCCAGCCCCTATATGATAATTATATTAACTTATTAATTAGCTAAATTAAAATCATAGTCATTAATTGTTCCAAGAAGAGGACGTGAGTAGTTAATATTAAGATATAAAGAGATCTTAGTGTGTTAAATTCACTCCTGACCTTTGTATAATTAATGTGTGATGGAGTTGTACCCCTGAAGGTTGAAGTGTTTCAAGAAAAGGATGATAAAGTGATGTATTTCTTGTTGGAACTAAGAGTCATAAGGGCAGAGAACCCTATATATACAAACTAGACAGACCCAATCAGGACAAGGTATTTATATCGTAGATTGCAGGTGAGAGTTACAAATATTCAAATTAAAGTTTATTGTTAATTTATAGTACTAGTAGTATTTATGAATTTCACATTGATAATATTTTCATTTATCATTTTTTCTTAATATTCAAGTTCTTAGTAGTATCAGGACGTTGAGTAGAAATCCTGGATTTGAAAAGGTAAGTTTAAGTATTCAGACCAATTAACTACTGTCGAGGAAGGAAAAGAGAAGATCAAAAGTATTAATGATGAGGTATTCACATTGTTGTCTCGGACAGTTTTCAGTTTAAGTTTAGATGAACTAAAATGTGCATGTAACTGACTCATGTTTCAAAATAATGCAAAGTAGGGTAAAACTGGCTTCCATTAACTTCAAAGACACAAGTAATTTGAAATTGTGCAGTCTGAAATAGAAAGGTTAGTGGAGTATTGGTTTAAATTAGGGATGTCAAAATTGTCAAGAATTGATATTCGAGTATTCGATAGGAGTATTCGAATATATTCGAATATTCGATAAAATGAATACATAAAATGAATGCATTATAAATTATTTATTTTAACTCTCCAGTCAACCAGTATATGTTATTTTGGAATAGAATTTCACATGAGAGTTTTGTAAATGCAAAGTAATTAAATTTTTTAAAATGTTACAGAATATATGAAGAGTTTTCATCTAACATGTAATGAAAATTTGTTTTTGAAAATTCAAAATCATCTTTAGTATGTTCCAGCTAGATTAATTGATCGTCTTACCAGAGTCTACACTACTTACTTCTACAAATTTATACAACTCTAAACAATTATCTACAGAAGAAAAATTAAAATCAATTAATTTTAGTGAATTAATTACCCGATAATTATTTTTAATGATATATACATAAACAAAGGATCCATAAAATGTCCTTACAACATTATAAACTGAAATAGGTACATGTACCGTTATACCACTGATTAAATGATCAAAGACTAATTTATTCCAATAATTACACTCTTTACACTTTTAAAGTAATCAAACAAGACACAAGAACTTCATTCAATTTCAAATAAAACTTGAAATAAATGTGCGAATAGAATCACAATGTAAATAGAAAGGTTAGTGGAATATTGGTTTAAATATCGACCTGTCAAGACAAGGAGGTTAGTGAAACACATTTTCTGCTGCTGGTGACCAATATGTGCGAGAGAATTCGCACGGCCCAGAAAATCCAAGGTTAGTGGCATCTGGATGTCAATGTCACTCGAAAAAACAATTTACATAAAAGATGATGCTTCTGTTTTCAGTTTCCTAGATACCTTTGCGAAAATAGCTTCATGGTTGTGTAGAAGCTTGGATTGACTATACTGTCAGTGATACTTAAAAACATCTTGATACATTCCCAGGTATGCCTGTAATGAAAGGAACACTGTTGGGTTGTAAAAAAAGAAATGGGTTTTCATATTTTTCATAACTGTAAGATCCTTAACAGGAAAATCAATCTTTTTAATTAGGGATATTATAGATGAATTATTCAATTTTTGAGAGAATAAAGGATGACTGAACTCGATTCAACTTTGAAATTTACAAGGAAAATGAGACATTGTAATTTTCCTTGTTTTGGTGAATTAACTGCAAACCTTTTTAGTTATGAATATAGTGTGTTCCTGCATGGAAGAAATCCGAATTTTTGCGTATGTTAATTTTTTGAGTTCTTCTATAGAAATATTCAACTTTAAATTGGTTATTATTGTAGCATCATCCACTTTGTGAGTCTGAACATTGGGTTGCCACAATATGCCAAAAAAAAATTTTTTCTAAACAAAATGAGTATGCTCTCTATAAGTTGTATCTAGTAAAATGACACATTTTGAAATAGTTTTTTTCTGTTCTACTTTGCAGGTGAATAATGCAGTGGAGAAAAATCCTGTGTAATTTATGAACTTTAAAGAAGTAAGCATTTGAAATGATTTACATGTATGTACTGTTAGTAACTCATTGATTGATTTGTTTCATTGTTTGTTCAGAAATAAAGTACAATGTATCCAGATATTGTTTTATACCTTTCTCTTTAAGAGTTTAGTTTTGCTGTTGGTGACTTTTTAATAATCATATCTAAACTCCTGGGAATACAGGCCTTGAGACAGAGAAGCTACACTATAGGGGTATTTATTTGGTGTAATGTGACATAAAGCATTAAATCAGTCTGAAAAATGGAGCAATTTAAAATTGAAAAGTACTAGAACGTGATTCTCTACTCTTTGGTATTATTCAAATGAACTAAATGTATTGTTATATTACAAAACATTGAAATACATGGCTCTGCATCAGGAGTTCTGGTGAAAGGGTAGGATCTGCTGATCAAAATTTGTCTGTTGTCTTCATTTTTAAATTTTATTTTTCTCAAGAACCACTGGGGCAATTTCAGCTTAAATGGCAAGTTTGTTTCAAGGAAGGAAACGCCCAAAATCTACATATGTCAAGATTCAACAAGCCTTCACTTCATCTTTTCTAGTCCAGTGGTTCTTGGGAAGATTTTTAAATATACCCATCCTTTTTTCACTATTTCTTAGTTATCTCCCCATGGCAAAGGTGGGGCCACAAAAAACGCTCTAAGTTTTACATAGAAATAAGTATGGAAAATCAAAATCTTCCCACGAACAACAAAGCCATCATTGGTGATATTTTTATGGAAGCATAGTTTAAACATATTTTATTGAGAAATTCAATCAGGATTGGGCAACAGGCAATGCCTATGTACACCCTCTCCTTGTATAATTGGTCAAGATAGAATAGTAGGTAATAATACATGAACATGATAATCAATAAAATTATAATGAAAAATAAAGATTCACAATCAATTATTATTTATCAATATTATATCTCAAAAAAATGACAACCCCCTAACTTATACACATTATTTACATACTGTTCCAGCAGTTATGGAAGCATCACAAGGTGGTGTAAATTCAAGTTTGTTCAAATTATGACCCATGTGGGTAGGGTAGGGTCATAATGGGCGATCGAATTTTACATAGAAATATATAGAAACAAGATGTGTTTGTGAAATACCTAAGCTTTTTAAAAGTATGTCTCCAAGGTCAAGGTCAAAAGATCAAAGCTGTTGGTATCTAATGGAAGGTCTTGTAACAAGGAATACATATGTGAAGTTCAAAATTTATGACCAAGGTTAAAGTTTTTTAAAGTAGGTCAAACTCCAAGGTCAAGGTCGAAAAGTTGTTAGTATCCAATGAAAGGTCATGTCATAAGGATTACATATGTGAAATATGTAAGCCCTATCCCTTCCCGTTCAAACGTTCTAGTCAAGGTTAAAGTTTTTTAAAAGTAAGTCAAAAGGTCAAAGTTAAGTTTTTGGTATCCCATGAAAGGTCTTGTAACAAAGAATACATATGTGAAGTATGAAAGTCCTAGCACCAACGTTCAAAAGTTATGACCGAAGTAAAATTTTGGAATTTAGTTTAAAAGTGTGTCAAAATCCAAGATCATTTGGTCAAAGAACTATATGCGGTATGAACCAACATTTGCCCCCCAAAATCAAACTTTGATGGAGTAATTAAGTCCTTAAACAGGGGAGTATATGCTGACTTCAAAGCACTGAATAATTTCATAAGTAATGACGTCATATGTACGTAATGACGTCACAAATATGACGTAAATTTCAGTTTTTTATGAATTTTGCAGAAAAATGTACATATTTCGTCGATATTTTAAATAAAAGTCACCGAGCGCATGTGTGTTCAGGATTAATATTTTGATATAATGTGTAGAATGATAATACATGTATCAATGAAATATGTCAATATTGTTCCTGAACACACATGCGTAAAGCTTAAAAAATTTTGTCCATTTTGTCCTCTTTCTGAAAAAGGATATAAAATCGGACTAGTTTGTGACGTCATAAAAACAGAAATTGTGAATTGCTCTGGAACTATAATATTTTCTGTTAACTTATATTTCTCGTACAATTTATTGAATTCAGCACATTTCAGGAAGTTTTCAAAATTTGACTTTTGTGGGGGCAAACATATGCAATATACCGCATATACTTCTTTGGTGGTACCCAAAGAAAGGTCTTGTCACAAGGAATACACCTGTGAAATATGAAAGCCATAGTCCTACCCAGTCAAAAATTATAGACAAGGTTAAAGTTTTTCCGGACAAACAGACAGACAGGGCAAAAACTATATAACCCCCGAAACTTCGTTTACAGGGGCCTTAATATTCTAAAACAAAAATCTTCTCAAGAACAGTTAAGTTTTTTAGTAATATTTTTATGGAAGCATCCGTAGGTAGTGTAAATTCAAGTTTGGTCAAACTATGACCCCTGGGGGTTTGAAGGGCCACAATGGGCTATGAAATTTTTACGTAGGTATATATTATTTATAAAAATAAAGTCTTCTTTTCAAGAACAGTAAAGCAATGATTAGACATATCTGTATGGAAGCATCCTTAAGTAGTTTACATTCAAAATTGTTCAAAACAAGGAACACCAAGGATAGGGCGGGGCCACAATAGAAGAGCATAGAGGAAAAATCTTAAAAAGCCATGATTAGCCAAAAAAAAAAAAATAAAAAATAAAAAATAAATAAATGAAAGCATTCTTAGTGTAGATTCAAATGAGAATAAATATAACCCACATCCCTGAAAAAGGCTATTTGTGATCACCTTTATAATAGATTGAAGGCTTTCAATATTAAACCGATTTCTGTTTTTTCCCCTAGTCAATGTGCTCTTGACAAGCGATGTGACCCATGGGTCCATGTGTATTTTGTTAAATTTGTTGTTAAATAAAGACTAGTTCAAACACCTGTTAAATTAGGGAACATATTAAATCAAGTACAACTGAAGGAATTTGATATGTATATATTTTTTTTCACTGTACCATTCTCTTCTTGGTTTTTATTTATTATTAATTTTTAAGGTATGGAAATAGCAATGACGGATACACTGTGTTCAGAATATTTTCCAAAAAAATTGTGACCGAATCAGCTTATATATAATCGAACTTAGTTTGTGGAAAAAGTTTCTCACTCAGATATATCATTCACAAATGTAGCTTACCCAATCCACCCTCCCAAACCTTTTCAACCATCTTGGAAAGAAAATAAACTATGATAAGCTACATTAAATTTCATTCTATAAATAATAAAAGAAAAAGGAAATGAACAATATTTTCTAAATTGGGTTTCTAGCTATCAAACATACAAAGGTAAAATTTTCTTGGATTGATAGTTTTTAAAATATTTCTCGATCATTTATATACTAGTATAAGTATTCTGATAAATGTTTAAACTTTTAACAAATATGGTTAAAATTTTCCCAACTAGAACAATACTTTATTATAATTATATTTTAAACGTACTAAATTTGGTTGTGTATTCTTTTAATTGCTGTGGTGGAAAGCAGCTTCTGCTAATTCAAGAACATCGCCAAATATTTCAAGTGTAAAAGTATAAATTATTACTTATCTCAAAAAGCACACAACACCACAAATCGTTCATTATTCAAAAGCCACCAACAACCCACAGGCACCTGACGTTTCTTACTTTTCTTTTAATAAAAAAAATATACCCTTACCTTATTATAAGGTAAGGGTATATTTTTTTTATTAAAATAAAAATAAGTAACGTCAGGTGCCTGTGCAACAACCTTATACTCTTAATAAAAAAGAATTTAGTAAATACAATTTGAATAGATTTATAGTATTATTCAACACTACAACAATGTCTGCGTAAACATATCTATTCTGTATATATTCGCACATTGGAGATATAATCTTGCTCAATTTATATTATATCGTTCTTGTAGCGGTAGATATTCACTCTGCCGTTGAAATTCCCAACCCAGATAATTTCCCCGAACAAGCTCAAAGAAATCGGTATGGAGTAATTGCCCTTAAGGGGTGTTAGTAGCTTCAGAAACTCTCCTTCAGAATTCAAAAGATGAAGAACATTGTTAGCGGGATCTGTAATAATGATATTGCACTGATTATCTGCAACGACATCTGTGGGCAAGAAGTCATGATCGAGACTTTGGCCAGTATAAACACCAAGTTTCTGGCCTTCAATGGTGAGTACGTGTAGAATTCCTTGGCGTTCATTGAGAAAATCAACAACACAAATATCACTGTTCCTTCTTTGAATCACTCGCCTTGGGAGTGTAAACAATCTGGTTTTCCTATCTTCTCGGAATTCATAATCTCGCATGACGTCACCCGACAGGGTCATAAGCCTGACTAGTCGTCTGCTTCCGGAGTTTAAAATAAATTCCATAGAATTGTCAACTAAAGTTACAAATATGGCACCGTTATTTGCTAAACTAACTCCTTCTGGTTCCAAAGGACTTGTCGAAATTTGATGTTCTAGCACTCCGGAGGAGGACATTATTGAAATGTTATGAGCTTCTAGATGTGTAACAATGATTTCATTATTTGGTCCAATGGTAAATGCATCACATTCACATTTGATATCGACAGTGTTTAAGACCTCTCCTTGAAATCCAACTTGGACTATTTGGGTTCCTTTCTGTTCGTATAACCAGCTAGCCGTCTCTGCAGTAGCTGCAAGAGAATTGATGCCATCGGCACCGAAAATAAAGGAAGCAATTTCTGTCAAACTAATGTCGTCTGTGTTAAAAATGTTTCCAGCAATGGACTCCATCACGCTGGCGTCAATGTTTTCAGGCTGAACGAATACCGAAAAGAAACATGATGCGATGTTTGTATTTGGTCTAGATATTTTCTTCAGATTGTCTTCTAAAGAGAAATAATGTTCCAGAAAGCGATGGTCAGTCATGTTACCCTCTTCTAGAACCGCACACATTTCTTTCAAGTTTTCTTCTTGTTCTTCTAGTTCTGTCTTCATCACATCTAAGTCGGCGTTTTTTCTTGACAAGCTTTCTGTAAGCATTTGCTTGTGTCTTTCTTTAATTTCTGCCAATTTTCGAAAAATATCATCATGATGTCGAAGTAATATTGCTATCTGCTCCTCACATTTCTTTGAATTTTCCTTTTTCGTTTTGTCAATTGTTTTTATTCTTCGACGTAAAAGTGGAAAATAGTTTCCATGGACATCTTCCAATGTAGTTCTGAAGATTTTTCTTTTGTCGTCTGCTAGTTTTCTGACAGGTTCCCATTTGTGTCTTACATGAGAAAGTCTGGCGCAGACGAGACATACAAGAACCTTACAGTCTTTGCAATACTGGTCGGTGTTCCGATTATGTCGTTCGCAAATTTTAACGGCAGTTTGAGCTAAAACTAAATCTGACCTATCGGTTGTGTGAGCCATAGAAAAATCTGGTCAGGATTTTGCTATCTGTGCACGAAATAAGGAAGGAAAACTTTAAAGCCGCGGAAAGACTGTCCTCATTTCCCTGCTTGATTTCCTCGCGCCTGGTTTTATACGGTGTGTAAAATTTCCTCATTTTTGTTTCTATTGTTGGCTTCACTGGAATTACGATGTCAGGTTTCCAAAAGAAGGGTTTCATTGATTGAGCAAATATTGCTGAGATATTGTAAGGAAATGATACAATATGAACTAAAATCTGAAACTGTATTGTTTATTTAGGAAGACATAAGATATTCAATTATTTAAATTAATATTTCCCGACTTTCTTTAAATAAGATTGACATTTAATATCAACATACATGATTGTGTGGTAAGGTTGACATTCAATATCAACATACATATGATTGTGTGGTAAGGTTAAAAGTTTTACCGACTTGAAATTTTTTTGATTGAATGTGTGTATTAAAGTGTAGGGGTGGGTGGGTGGATGATAAAATATAAAAATTTAGTTTCTTTGACATGTATATTTTTGCAAGTGACAATGAGCTGACGATGCAAATAAATTAAAAAAATGTGTGTGTTTGGGACATATTTGATTTCTTTAAGAAATTTGTTGTAAATTTTGAATTTTTAGATGATAAAGAATTCGTGAAACTTGGTGGGATCTTTTCACAAGCTTTTTCTTAACAGTCACTTTTCAAGAGAACATGAAACTTATCTGAAAGTTTAATTACACACTCTAGATTAAAGTTTCTTCGTATCTTAACCCCTGGCGGTAGGACAGATCCTCAAAAAGGGGTCGAAGTTTTACATGGATTATAGAGGAAATGTCTTTAAAATCTTCCTCTAGAAAACAGCAAAGTCTTGATGAGTCATATTATAATTTATTGTTCAAAATCATGACCCCTGGAGGTAGGGCAAAGGGTTGCATGGTGCTCAAAGTTTACCATAGGGATTTTCTTTCTCAAGAACAGCTGAGCCGTTGGAAGTCAAATTTGACATTTTGACCTTCGCTAGCCTTTTAAAAAGGGTTTCTGAAAGATTAGGCCTACTCTCCTCATGAAAGTAGCCTCTCATTATCAGAAACCTTTTGACATTGACCTTGGAGAGATGAAAAAACTTTAACCTTGGGTATTAATAGAAAAGTGTCCATTCAGGTTGTATGTAAGTCTTATCAAATCATGTCCCTTGGGGGCCACTTTTAAAAAGCAAACCTTGACCATTCTTTTAAAAAGGGTTAGAGCTAGGTTTTCATACTTTAATATTTAAAGGTGTGATTTTGACAACAAGACCATTTTGACTTTGGAAAAGCTTTTTAAAATTTTTAAGCCCATAACTTCTGAACGGTTGGTAGCAGCTTCCATACTTTACATAATTATGTATTTTTTTGGATCTTTGATTGATACATGACAGTAAAAGAAGTTGATGAAAAAACCTTCATCCTTTCATATTTAGCAAAGATTTAATGATATATTAAATTTGCATTTAAGAAAAGTTTAATCTTTGCTATGTGTGGGCATCGTATATCACAAACACATCTTGTTTTTATAGATAATTATATGGATTTTCATAAAACAATACTTATTTCGGAAAACAAAGAGAGATAACTCTAAAATTTTGGCAAAACTTTTGTTTTCACTATAGAAATCAATGGAAAACGGAATATTTTTAAAACATCGCCCCTGGTGTCACAAAAATTCCCTTTTACAGGTAATATGGACTGTTATTTCACAAATTATTACGCACTTTGTGCAACAAAATGTGTCAAAAAACGACAAAAATGCTTATTTTCCACCAATTCCAAAGCGATATGCAACTGAAACATTACATTTTATTAATATATTTATGTTTTATTTAATTGCCTAAAACATAAGAAAAGATATAAGGAACATTTAAACATATCCAAGACTATTTCAAAATATGGTAAAATATCCTTTTTTCAATTGTCATATCTAATTTACTAAACGTTGGTATTATGCAATTCATCAATTTCCATTGAACTGTTCTTTGTATTAAACAAAGAATCGGTCTGACAAACACATATTGAATTAAATGTTGCAAAATGTACAATTGAGAATAGCTTACGTATTTCATTACAAAGCAACTTTAGGTATCGTAGAATCAAGTTTGCTCAAATTATGACCCCAGGGGTTGGGGGCAGAACAGAGGGTCGAAGCTTTGCATAATAATATGTATGAATTATCGTTAAAAGACCTTTTGCTCAAGAACAGCAAAGCCATGATTAGTCATATTATTACAGAAGCATGCTCAGGTAGTGCATAGTCAATTTTGTTCAAATTTAGGTTGGTTAGGATGGGTCCACAATAAGCAGTAAGAGTTTTACAAAGGAATAGATAGAGAAAATTTCTTCTGTTTAAGAACAATGAACCAAGACATTAATAGCTATATTAGTATAGAAACATTTTGAGGAAGTGTTAGTTCAAGTCCCTCCTTTTTTAAAAGCTTTTTAATACTGAAATTAGTGTGCTCAGACACAGTGGCCCATGAGCCACTTGTTTATTTGAAAATAATAATATTCTATCAAAGGAAATAGTTCAGTTTCTTCGGTTGATTTCTTGCGTGCATGAATGCATTTTTTGCATTATTTATTTAAAACGAGAGCAAAATTCATTCGCTGGTCGTCAGTTCTGCAAATTGCTATCGAATTAAGCGCGCAATAGTTTGTTATAAAATATATCATAAATCTTCTATTGAGTGATTACACTTATCAAATGAATTGAGATCATAGTATTTATTATGAAATATTTAAAGACATCCTCAATTATTTATGATGCTAAAATATAATATAGAATACTTAAATGATTTTTAATTCACGACAAAAAATCTCTTCGGTGAAGACAAGCGCTTAAAACAACTTTTAAATTGTGAAAACAAAGTCATGTGTTATTATCTCTCATTTTCAAAACCTTGTTTTTTCCTTATAAATTGTGTCGTCGTTGTCGTTGTCGTCGTCGTTGTCGTCGTCGTTGTAAACTTTTCTTATTTTCAGCTTCTTCTCAAGAATCACTGGGCCAATTTCAACCAAACTTGCTACAAAGTATCTTTGGGAAAAGGGGATTCAATTTTTTCAATGAAGGGCCACGCCCTTTTATATTATTAGAGAAAAATTAATATTTTTAAAAAATCTTTGCAAGAACCACTGGGCCAGGAAAGATGAAACTCATGTGGAATCATCCTCAGGTAGTGTAGATTCAAGTTTGTTCAAATCATGACCCCCGGGGGTAGGGTGGGGCCAAAATGGTCGATCAAAGTTTTACATAGGAATATATAGGAGAAATCTTTAAAAATTTTCTTCTCAAGATTCACAGGGCCAGGAAAACTTTCAAGTGGAAATTTTAGTGTAGATTCAATTTTGTTAAAATGCATGCAAAATGAAAAGTTTAAATGAATATATAGGAAAAATCTTTAAAATCTTCTTCTCAAGAGAGAAGAGAATTTTCAGGTAGTGTAGCAAGTTTTTCACAACCTGGGGCCAAAAGTGAACAAAGTTTTCATAGGAATATATAGGAGAAATCTTTAAAAATCAAGATTCACAGGGCCAGGAAAGATGTTCAATTATCATCCTCAGGTAGTGTAATTCAATTTTGCAAATATATTGACCAAACCATCAAAGTTTAACATAGGAATATATAGGAAAAATCTTTAAAAATCTTCTTCTCAAGAACCACTGGGCCAGGAAAGATGAAACTCATGTGGAATCATCCTCAGGTAGTGTAGATTCAAGTTTGTTCAAATCATGACCCCCGGGGTAGGGTGGGGTCAAAATGTCCGATCAAAGTTTTACATAGGAATATATAGGAAAAATCTTTAAAAATCTTTTTTAAAAAATTTTGGCCAGGAAAGATGAAACTCATGTGGAATCATTTTTCAAATTTGTTCAAACATGCAAGGGTGGCGCGCAATGGCTTCAAAGTTTTAAAATATATAGGAAAAGTCTTCTTCTCAAGAACCATTGAGACAGGAAAGATGAAACTCCTGTGGAATCATCCCAAGGTAGTGTAGATTCAAGTTTGTTCAAATCATGACCCCCGGGGGTAGGGTGGGGCCAAAATGGTCGATCAAAGTTTTACATAGGAATATATAGGAAAAATCTTTAAAAATCTTCTTTTAAAAAATATAATATGGAATCATCCCAAATAGATTTTTAATCATGACCCCCGGGGGTAGGGTGGGGCCAAAATAAAAGTTTTGCATAGGAATATATAGGGAAACCTTTTAAAATCTTCTTTTCAAGTTCTTCAAAGCCATGCTTAACTTTTAAATTGTGAGGTAGTGTAATTCTAAAAGTCATGTGTTATTATCAGTAAACTTTCAGTTCTGATCTGAAATGTGCTTTTTCCTAGCCAATTGCTCAGGTGAGCAATGTGGCCCCTGGGCCTCTTGTTATAATTGAAATTGCATGATGATTTATTTTCCTTATATATCCATTGACATTAGATTGTGAAATAAGGAAGAACTTATTTCTCAGTACAGCTGAAGACTCGGTTACAAGGAAATCTTATTCTACTTTAAGTGAACCTCAACAAAATAAAGGTGTCCTTCAAACAATTAAGCTATATGTTTTTTTAATGACATATACAAGAAAAAATGAATCTATTTTGTCTGGCTTTTGTCACCTTCATTGTTTCCTCCCCGCTCGGATGATAGGGGTATGTGATGGGGGTTTCTGTCCGTGTGTCTAGGGTTAGCCACCCCCTAATCCATAACTTCTTGTATACCATTGATTGCAATGAAACTTTCACATTTTTTGTTTTACATATTGGCATTACTATTATGCATCTGCATTTATACAATTTCTATTGGATTTTCATAGCAAAACATGCCCTTCTTTCTGTAGTATTGCGGGTATCTATCTCTTTTCCATACCTCTGAATCAATAAATCAATGTTACCTGTTATCAAGACTTCTTATTTTGTGTGTCATAGAACAGATATTTGAGGTGTCCCTGTAAAAAGACTGATTGGTCGTTCTTGGTACGCTTTTGGCTATAGCCATCACTTATCTAGAAAGCCTCTTACACCACTGAACACAATTAAATGAAATTTTCAAAGAATTCGTTATCATATACATGTAATTCCATTTTGGTCTCCTATTTTACGCTTTCATTGGAAAGATATTTGGGGTTTTCCTGAAAAAAATTTTTTTTAAAAGACATTTTTTATTCATCTCTTGTATGCAACTGTATGCAACTCTTTTCATGCTACTGAATAAAATATATGAGACTTTAGCAGATTTTTTTTTTTGCAATACAGTGCCATCTTGCACATACGTTTTGATCATAAAGTGTTTTGGGTTATCCAAAGCAAAACAACTACTCTGTCTGTATTCTCGATAAAGAGGTATATATTTTATAAACACATTTCAGTGGAACAGAGACAGAATCTTATTTACAGACTGTATAGAAATGAACTCTAACATTATAATAGTATTGGGTATCTTTATTACGTGTAATCATGTCCAAAATTTTTGTAGTTTGTTTTTCTGGTTAAGTGCAGTAATAAATTCGTCTATTTTTAATTTTCTTTATATACAGCCTTGGAATGAATTGATATCAATTATAAAACATGCGGCAACTGCAAAATGACCCTCACACTAAGTATGCACATGATTACATAAGTTTACATGTTACATCGGCTAATTTTGAATATATATTAATTCCGGTACAATTCATAGAATTCATTTCTATTTCAAGCTTTATAAATTGTTTCCTTGTTTTCAATTAAAGATATTCATTTTTTATTCCTTTCTATTTCCACTAGATTGTTGAGACTTTTTAACTATAAATAAATACAAACAAATTCAAGTTTCCAAAAACAACAAATAAAATTTATTTATCTGTACTGAAATGAAAAAAAATATAGTAATGAAATAATAAATAACAATGAAAGCGAAACTAGAAAACTGTACAATTCCTGATTGATAAAACGCAGAGAAAGACAAGACAAATGTCTACTTTTTCTGTGAAAGCCACCTTTGGAAAAGTCTTAGAAATGTCTCAAGTTCATATCTAAGTTTATTATTTGCAGTCATCATTTTTGGCGGATGAACGGGTACCCTAACGTCATCATCATCATTTTCTTTAGAATTATCATCAACATTAAAGAGCACGACTGGTTTAATTTTATATTCTTTTTCCTTTGATGTATCATCTTTTTTATCATCCATTTTGTCATCATCTTTGTCAATAACTTCTTTAGAAGCGTCTTGATCTGATTTTTCTTGAGATTGATCATCTGTTTTTACACTATACTGGGTAACTTCTTTGGAGTTTTTGTCATCTTGTAATCCCAACATACTCAGTGTTAATTGTACTTCTGATGAATCATTGTCGTTTTCAGATGGTTCCACATCAACATTCTGACTTGTGTTATCATCAGTATTGTCATTAACAACCTCTTCACTGGTGTTGTCTACAAGTGGTTCACTTTCGGCCTCCTGACTTTTATTGTCATCTAATTGCTCTACATCTTGACTTGTATTATAATCAAAGGACTCAACATCAGTATCTTGGCTAGTGTTGTCGTCATTTGGTTCAGCATCTGCTTCTTGACTTTGATTGTCTTTTGGATAAGCATTCACTTCCTGACTTGTAACATCTTCTTTCTCATGATCAGCATCCTGACTTGTGTTGCTTTCTGGTTCAGCGTCGGCATCCTGACTTGTGTTGCTTTCTGGTTCAGCATCGGCATCCTGACTTGTGTTGCTTTCTGGTTCAGCGTCGGCATCCTGACTTGTGTTGCCTTCTGGATAAGAATCGGTATCCTGACTTGTGTTGCTATCTGGTTCAGCGTCGGCATCCTGACTTGTGTTGCTTTCTGGTTCAGCGTCGGCATCTTGACTTGTGTTGCCATCTGGATAAGAATCGGTATCCTGACTTGTGTTGCTATCTGGTTCAGCATCGGCATCCTGACTTACGTTGCTTTCTGGTTCAGCGTCGGCATCCTGACTTGTGTTGCCTTCTGGATAAGAATCGGTATCCTGACTTGTGTTGCTATCTGGTTCAGCATCGGCATCCTGACTTGTGTTGCTTTCTGGTTCAGCGTCGGCATCCTGACTTGTGTTGCCTTCTGGATAAGAATCGGTATCCTGACTTGTGTTGCTATCTGGTTCAGCGTCGGCATCCTGACTTGTGTTGCTTTCTGGTTCAGCGTCGGCATCTCGACTTGTGTTATCTTCTGGATAAGAATCGGTGTCTTGGCTTGTGTTTTCTTCTCTCTCAGTATCGTCATCCTGACTCGTGGCTTTCTCTGCGTAAGAATCTACATCGCCACTGGTGTTGTCTTCTGAATAAGCATCGACATCTTGACTTATGTCATCTGTTTTCTCAGTATCTCGACTTGTATTGTCGTTTTGTTTACTTTCGACCTCTTGACTCTTGTCATCATTTTCTGGCTCTGCCTCTACTGATGCATCTTCTACCTCAAATGTGTAGTCTTCATTGCTGTTTTGATCGTAAGTTTTTTCAGAACTGGCTTCATTCATACTGTAGTCAGATTTTTCATTAGATGATCGCTTTACTTCTTCACCAGATGCTGTGTCTTCTTCTTCAATTGAGTTTTCCTCTCTCGATTCTTCTGTCTTTGATGAATCTTCTCCGTTATCATCACTATCATCGTATTCTGCATCGTCGTAGTAGTTTTCGTCGTATGTCTCAGTTGAAGACTTATCGTCTTTGTTGTCAACTTTGCTGTTATCTTTATCAGATGATGTTTTATCCTCTGTAGACTTGTCTTGAAGGGCGTTACTTACACCACCACTATTTTCCTCAAAATTTGAGAGATTGTTATCCTCAAACGAATGATAATCGTCATTATATTCCGCTGATTTCTTTCCAGATCCGTCGTCTTCATCTCTGTTGTTTTCGTTGGAAACATTGTTGTCGGATTGTGAAGTATTTGTGTCGTCTACCGAATTACTGCTGTCCTCATCTGTAGAAGTGTTGGCTTCCTCTTTGATATAAACATTCTTTTCGTCTGAGACGTCGGCCTTTTCCTCTGAATCATCATCCTCCACATAATCTTTGAAAAAGTTTGCCAAGCTATTGTCGTCCTCCACTGAGTTATCTTTAGAATTGTTTTCATATTCAATTTTATCATCTTTCTCTTTTGATTGAGCTTCTTGTATTTCCCGACTTATCACCTCATTGAGATTGTGGATTTTTCTGGTGTAAGCATCTTTCTCACCACTGTCATTATTAATGTCATCGTTATCACCATTTTTGACACGTGTTAATCCCATTATTAAAAATTTTATAAAATCATCCTTATTAAGATACTTGGCAATATTTCTACGCCTAGCTGCAAATTCTGACATTTTAATGACGTCATTTTTGCGGGGATCGACCATAACTCGGCGCCCTGTATCGGCAGGTGCTGCTTTCTGTTGGAAAAATCTCTTTTTCATGAACTCTTCGTGTTTTTTCATTAACCCTCCCATAATTTTCTCTTTGTAAATATCAACGTTATCGTCCAGATCATCCCAGTCATCGTGAATACCACTTTTATCATCGTCGTCGTCCTCGCTATCCGTCTGGGGAATGTTCTCTGACAACTGAAATCCTAGAGGCAATGGAGGAGCGAATTGACTACTTGGTCGAGATCCACTTTTTGGTTGGTAGGTGGACGTTTTTCTGGGTGTTTTGGTTTTGCCCGATGCAGTTATATCAACTCCAAGAGCCGCAGCGTTTGGCAGAACTGTGTTTGGTTTCCAGATGACTCTTCGTTGGAGTTGCTGAGGTCTCCTATAAGTAGGGACCAGATTTACGCTTTTCTGGAATTCTCGGAGCAAGGGAGCAATTACAGTTGGAGAAATATGGCGACGGAGATTGTATTTAGGATTTTTGGAATTCACCTGTCCTTTGGATTGCTTGATCTGGACTGAATAGGGAAGTGTTTTGGGGGCAACTTTTGGAGGGCTTGAAATTTTAGCCCCTAATGCAGCCTTGTTCAATAATGACACAAGCTGATTCCATTTTGCACTTTGATCAGCTGGCTTTCCTGCTGGTAATCCTGAAATAATGATAAATAGATAAGATTGTGTGCAAGTATAATATATTTTTCTATTTATATGTATGAACATGTAATGAAATATTGTGAAAACAAACAAAGAGTAAGTAGGTTCAACAGTCAAATGCAAACACCGACCACTAAAACATCAGAGCTGGGTGGGAGCAGGAGCCTTGGTGGAAGTTCGCAATTCTAATCTGTTCGTTTTGAAAATGTTTATTGGAAGTACACTGTTTATATTTTTTGGCCTGGGGAGGGGTATTGGATTTGCTTTATTTTTAAAAATTATCTTTCCTTTAATTTCCTGAATCTTACGTAAAGAAATATAACCAGTTAAAATAATTTATATCGACATTTCACCTCTACAGCATTTTCTAGTAATCATTTGTGGTTTTGTTTTTATGAAAGATGAAAAGACAATTGGAACTAGATGATTAATTAGACAGTAAATGGGTGTGATTAATATTTTAAAAAGCTAAATCACAATGTTTCATCTGTATAGTGATCATTGCTGATAATTGATCAATTCATAAAATGTGGTGAGGTATTTTACACTGATGGATTGTACACCTTATATTTATAATTTGATCTTTTTATAAACGCTGTCACAGAAAAGATGACAGATATGTGAAGATAAGAATTGATGTCGTATATATCATTCTAATTATCGTATACGCGTATATTCTGCAAAGGTATAAACGGTGCTTAATTTACAGTATGAATTCTGATATTATTTCAAAATCGAATGTAATTTCTGGATATCATCTTATTGACTTTGTGAGCCAATTAAATAATATATTATATTCTCATCTAGTAAGATGCAATTGTGACATTTTTATATATGTCTAACGGAGATTCACACCATTCTGATTCTTGGATACATAAACTGTAAGAAAATTAAGATAATACGTATGTATTAAGCAAATAAAGAATAATAATAACGGAGAGTCACAATGACTCATTCGTAAATATTGCAAGAACTGTCAAGAAAATATGAAAATTTGAATTGTTAATCGAATCTGCTTTTAATTAGTTTCGATAATTAAAACATTTGTAAGGTCATGACCACTTTCATTAATAATTAGATTCGTCCTGCAATCTATAAATTAAATTCATTGTGCTAATCCCTGATTGGAACTACTGTCGCACATATAAGTGATTGGGATCAATAAAGTTAAAGGAAAAATGCTTAAATTAATGAAATAGTACATAAATATGCATTAATTTGCATGCTTATGTTTTCATGTGATTATTGCTGTCAATTAATTTTTGAATTATTGAACAGCTGATTGTGGCCTTAAAAAAGAACCCACCCTGAAAATTTACTTAATTTACTTAATTAATTAAAAATTAATACGCTGTAGTAGTTTTGTTCCAAGTGTTAGTGGCTTCGGAGGGTTTCCTCCCAAGTATACATTATTGAAACAAATAGTACATGTTATAAAAGAAGGAGCAATATTTTCTATCGGACCTTTAAATATAAAGGTTTTAGTAAATTTCTAATATTAAGATTATATTTATCTACCATTCCAATAAATTTACATGTTTAAACTTACATCATCGTTTTATTATTTCCTCAAAAATTGATACTTAATTTTACCAATCAGTTATCTAGATAATCCATAAATTTCCCATGAAAAGGGGGATAGACAGGAATGAAATATGGAGATAGGGAATAGTAATCAAGCTCTTATTTCAATTAAAATAATATGAATGGGGTGCAGAACAAACAATGACATCTAAAACATTAGAGGTGGGATCACGTGCCATGGAAAAGTAAGCCTACCCTGTCCACCGGTCGCGCCAACTGCGTGCAAGAAACATTTCTAATCATTTCAAGACTTTGAAACTGTTAACAATAGATTCTTTAGCTGGAATATTGGATTTCATAATAATGCAATCCAAGTAGTTTCCACGTCGCATTTCAAAAAGCAAAATTGGGTATCTTCATCATATATTTTTTCTTAATGGCATCCCTTGACGTTTTTATATTTACAAGGCAGGTTTACTAAATATTATACATAACAAACTCAAATTGATGTACAACAAACTAGGCTTAACATTTTCATTAATTTTTTGTTGACAATTAATGTTAATTAAAATAAATGTCAGAGGATTGTGTTAATTTTAATCAGACGTATATGATAAATATTAATTTAAGTCTCTGTACAATGGAACTGACTGCATGATTTGTTAGAAACATGTCAAAGTGGTAAATTTTCTCAATAAGTGTGCATTGTGAAGTTTTGAGTATGATTCTGCTAAAAATTAGATGTTCATAACCGACTCAGCAATCATAAAATTCATTCTTCACATTCTCGTTTTAAAAAACATTAACGTCATGTAATTAATGCTAATCCAACTTCAAGTCTAGACCCCACATTTTAAAACAAAGAAATCATAAAGGATATTCAAATCATACTAAGTAAATGGTTGATCCATAAAGTAGTTCTGAAATATCAAATGTTAGATAACAGACAATGAAGCAGCCATTTCTGATTAAATATCAAGTGAGTTTTGTTCATTATGATAAATACAGTAGCTGCATTAAAAATCACCACCACGGCCACTGACGATAAAACATTTACTGATGTTTTATTGCAAAGTGTAAATTAACCCTGTTAACCGCATGGTGAAGATGAAAAATGTTTCAGAATGTTAAAGATTATAAAGAGAGAGGTAGTGGTTTCTTAATTGGTAAATTATTTAATATATATGTAAAGAACCTAGCAAAATAAAATGAAGGAATTGCTTAGGGTATCAATTGAATAATTTCAGTGTATATATACATTTAGGGTTTTATTACTGAGCATAAAATTTTGACAAACAATATCTTTCTGCAGAAAATACTATCAAAGGTAGGGATTACAAATCTATGCTAAAATGCATTTGCGGTTTCTGATTGAAATCCAAATGATAAAAAATCTTAAATATCAGTTTTGTCAGTGAGGGTGACACATTAATAACTCAGGCGAATCATAATAAGTACTGGCATTCAAATATATTGCTTGTGAAGTGGCCCTTGTATAATTTTACTGAAAATGTTTTACTGAAAGCTATTAAGTTTTTTTTCGTCCAAAATTGTTTATTTAAAATGTAGAAGCATATTTAGCAATATTTTTTGTTGTACAGTTAAAAAAAAAATTACTGTCTAATAATACATACTGTAAAAGATAGTTGAAAACCATCAGTAGTACCATCAGTATAAAAACCTGTTTAAAATATATTTGATCCAATGTGCACTCCTATTTGGTGTTTGCCTGCGACTGTTAATACGAAAAATTTCAATGCTTATGAAATTATTACATGTTATATCGATTTCAAAATAAAACATCATCAATAAAAAAGTACTGATCCAAAGCAAATTTGTATGAGTTTCATTTTTTAAATTTAACTTGTCCAACCATGGCAATTTTCTGGCGACACTTGTCTAAGTTCTCTATCCTATGACTCTGCAAATAATCCTGCAGGATTTTTGCTAATTACTTAACAGTTCAAACCCGTTTATAAATATTTTATCTTTGTTGAGCTTTTGAATGGACTTGGTGGAGCCATGTTCCTCTCACAGAGTGTTACATTAAAAGTAATGGTTTTAAATTCTTCCTCCAGGAAACTTGCAAACGCTTAAATTTAAGGATGGCGGACTTCATCAAATTCCAACAACCACCTTGTGCATTGAGTAGGTTTAAGTTGCAATGGACAGCTGTTATATCTAGTACATAAGTTTATAGTTAAAGTTTATCAACGGTACATGTTGTCAAGTGATGCTTTAAATGATTGTTATTTCCTTGATTCGCGAAACTATCAATTATATAATTATCGAGGCTTATATATTGCTGATTGATAGATGACTATGTTTTGCGAAATTTTGAAGTACAAATATTTATCAACTCTTACCATTATTAGCAACTTAATTAAAATAATAACGTATTACTTGGCTCCTGATATTTCCTCAACAATAAACATTCTAATAATGAAACTTTATCTATCGATGCACTTAAAAGTTGTTTCACTGTAGTTTAGTCCATCGCAATGTCCATAAATAATCCATGAATTGCTTTGTCACACAAAAGAAAGTTTATAAACAAGTTTCGAAGAGAAAAGTTAAAAATGTTACCTTCTACTTGAGGGTGTTGACCAATTGCCACTAGGACAACAACGGCAAATACGGCAATCATCTTGTAAACGCTGAAAATTTCAGAGAGAATATGTTAAATTATTTTAATGGTCAAATGCGGGCAGCTTTTAGCTGTTGATAAAAAAGTAAATAAAATTAGAATCAGAAAAGTGAAACCACAAAACAACATTTGAAAATTAAAAACATTGTTAAATCTGAAGACATTGTATAGTATTTGCATTATAAGTGGACCTATGGTACCATTGTCTTAATGCTAGCTTGGTAAACATTTTTTAAGATAATGTATAAATACTGCAGATGTAAAAATAAAACTTACAAACGCTCATACGCCGTTGTCTTCAATCATCTGGTGATAAAAAGTAAATCTCTTAGTTATAACATCTATCTTTGAATTTTAATTAACATTTTGAGGTTCCGACAGGGGTCTGAGGTATTATTTTATAAATCTCTCTACCGAATGACATTTTAATAATGACTTGAATTATTACAGCAAGTTGCCTTATGCATATTAGGTGATCGTAGCATGTTTTACCTATAATTATTATGAGATGACGAAATTATTTCTGAATTAGTATTCCGAATGCATCCAATTGATTGCGAATGTATCAATAAGATGATTTTTAAGGAAGACAGGTATCCTTTTATTATATTTATTAGAGAAGCAATCAAGAATATATTTGTTAATCATACATCATAATAAGATTTGCTTATATAGATGGCATTATAAGAAACAGACTATATGTAAAACCAAATGATTTGTCAAATGATATTATGCACAACTTTTGTGATGAAAACTAAGACAATTTAAAAATTGATAAAATTCTAAGAATTGTTTTTAAAGTGATCAACAAAAAGCATACTGTAATTTTAGAATTTGAAGTGCGACTTAATATTATTAAGTTTTGATTTTTTTTTCTCTTCAGAAGGCATCCTTTTTGATTTTTATATGTTCTTGCAAAGAAATGTATCTTCACATATAATTTTTTTTTCCCTCTTTTTGAAAGGGGGTTGTATTTGAAGGGCCTTGCTTAACTCTTAGGAAGCATACTTTTTTAGGGATATAGAATAAAAATTGAGGACTTGGATATATTTGCATTGACCACTCTTTACACTGAAAAATTCCTTTAAAGATGTATTTGTGGCAAATGAAATCAAATGTTATATTTTCAGAGATAAATATATTTTCATAAAGAATAAATCTTCTAAAGAATAAGTTATCTATGGGTAATAAAAAAAAAAGATTTGAGAAAAGGAACATTTCTTCTCCGTTGAAAAGTCCCTTTTTGTGTGATTATTTGTGCAAGAAAAGGTAAATTTTAGCTTTTTCAATACTTGTGGTACAACGAAGAACAAGAACAACGGTAACATATGGAACATCTTAAAAAACTAAAAATCTTGGTTAAAACAGTCTTAATTAATTATATTTATAGTCTTAAACTTTTTTTGCCAAGTATATTTTTAGTTTCTACATACATAGCTTAATTAAAATTCAAATCAAAAAATGGGGGTTAATACGCTTCTTTTAGCGCTACAGTACATTTAAAATGACCTTCATGCACTGAAATTTGTGTCTTAATTAAAAATTAGATTTTTGACGTTTTCCTTCTAATATTTGTATCCAATGAAAGCATGAAACAAAATGAACTCTAAGTTTATTTTAAAAAAGACACTTAAAAATCGTGACTAAGAAAAAGTTTCAAATTGCTTCGCATAATCAATTATTTGACCTTTCTGCACTAATAACATGTTATTTTTCCGGCATTGAAAATATAATAAGCAAGAAAATTATTTTAAAGTCTTAAACTTTTTCTGATTTTAAGCACATAGGTCAAAGTTATCTTGAATATTTAGAAAAGAACATCAAAAGTGGGGGTATATGATGTTAATTTTCAGATATTACTAAAAAAGTGTGAATTTTACGTTAAAATTGGCTAAATTTTTTCCCGGATTTTCAGAAGATATTTACTATATTTGTCACACTTTGCTGATAGAATTCATAAGAAATAATCTAATCGGTATTTCAGAACCATCATAACATATTTCACTGCAAAAAACAGCTTTGTTTGCAACCAGCATGGAAAAATAGGCATTTAAAATTAACAGTACTGTTATAGTTCAAATGGAAAAAAACTGACCATTTTCGTCTAAAAAACCTTCCGCCACAAAATATAGTCCATAGCTTAATTCTACTGGAATGAATTTTAATCGCGTTTTTTTCATTGAATATAGTTTAATTTGTATTGTAGAATTCGGTTTTATTGTTATAACCTAAAAATGATGCTTAATTTTATAAATAATGGACTTGCGCGAAATACGCTCAAAATATCAGGATCGAACGTCCTTAAAACAGTCTTGACTAATTATTATAAAAAGTGGTCTGTGGAGTTTTTCATACTACTTGTAATTGAATTGTCGACGGATTTTCCCGTTATTTTCCGATCATGACAAGGAGTACGCGGGGAGTGTGACCGGTCGGCAGGGAATGCTCACTCCTCCATGGCGCCGGCCTGATCCCACCTCTGATGTTTTGGAGGTCCGTGTTTGCTCTGCTCCAAGATTGGTTTTGTTTAATGAACTTCTGAGCTTGAATACTGTTCGTTATCGCCATACCTTTCGTTGTAATACTGCGGAATCACGTATTTTTCTGTGAATTTAATTTGCAAAGTGTAATCATGGTATGAGGAGATCCATAAATTCATGTCCTCCATGAAATTCTTAAACTACAGCGTCAGTTTCTACTTTTACTCCATAATAAATTCCCACAAAATAATATTATTGCCTAAACTACGAAATGAAGCATCTTAGCAGTATTTTAATAATCAGTCAAAGTATTTTGCAAAGTTAGCAAAAGTGAAAAAATAAATTAAAAAAGATTATATCTAGACTATATAAGTAAGACTTATTCACGACTTTTATAAATACTATAATTTCTCTTTTTTGTAATCTGTGATAACTCGTATTTACTAGTATATCAGAACTACTGAAAATTCTAAATCTTAGCAAATACCTATATTTCTCAAGGCTATTCATGTGGAAACAAAATGAATATTAAAAAGAATACCCCGGTTCTTTTTTTTTAAGTAATGATCATTAAAATGAATTAAGTGGTTCATTTAAATGCATTAATCTATAAAAAAAAGAATATATCTACAAACAATATAAATCTGTGAACAGGGCATAAATTCGGACTTTCAGAAATTCCATAGACTGGGTGCCTACTAGGATTAAACATCCCCTGTTGACCGGTGACATCCTGAAATCAGATCACGACCAACTGGACATTGATGTATCTACAAGGATTGCGATGTCGTGTCTTATCTCCTTATGCCATAAACATTGTATCCTGTAGTGCAAAATTGTCAATCAAACAAGGTTTTCTACAAGTATTCTTCTAAATTAATGGACAATAATGATCAGAATTAATTATAACTGGCATTATCATATTACACAAATATTAAGAAAAGACTAATGGCTTTTAAAAATAAGCCCAAAATATTGATTATATATTTGAAATAGATTACTGAGTATTTCATTGATGAAAAATAGACTAAGGAAAAATTCAAACACTCTAAAAATTGGACAGTTTTAAATATGATATTATTTTTATTTTAATTCTTTTTATTTGTTATTGTTTGTATGATTAGAAGAATGTTTCTTTCCAGTCCATTATCTTTGTTAATATGTGTAGCATGACAAGAAATTGTTTAAAGCTCTCTTTTTTTAATGAAAAGAACAGATTAAGCACACTTCATCGCAAACATGCATCTATATGCATTAACATTCTCAGCTACCAAACTACCATGCGTTCAGGTTTAAACTGAACAAGGTTTGTGAATGTTGCAGTCAATTAAATATCGAGCTTCAGGAGAGGTTGTTTATAACCAGAGTGTATGTCTGACATATTTTATTGGTCTTTGTATTCAATTGTACTATAAAAGTACATTTAGGTGAAATATGGAGATAACTTACAGTATACAAGCTCGAAGTCCATTAAAAAAATTAAACCGGGAGCAGATGGAACTCTAATCTACAAATTCATCATAGGTAGCATCAGATGCATCTGCCTTTAAAACAACAGATAACTAAAGTATAAAATTTTAATGTAGAATCCTGATTGTTCATTATACTATAAATAAATAGGTGGAGTAAATAGTGAAATATTGCCGACTTTGACGAGAAATTTATAAAATAATTGTAAAAGTAACAATATAGCAAAAAAGTAAATTCGGGAATTCATTACATAAATGCATGCAATGAAAAGTTCTTTTTATAATAGTGTACCATATATTTCGGAATGTATTTGATGTCCAAAGTCAAAACTGAATTCTTGAGGCTGTGCCAAAGGATAAAAAAGTGTGTTTTGTTTTGTTTTCTTTTCTTTTTCTTTTTGTCTCTTTGTGAAGAAGAGAATACTCAGTACTACATCTAGACGGTAACCGTTTTACAATTCCTATTCAATTTCTTGTCGTTGATAGAGTTATTTTTCCAAGTTCTGAATCTGCAAATTTGTGGTCAGATGTTAATGGGACCAGTTCCTTATGATCAATTTCACAAAGAGTTGTGATAATTATCCTTCCATCTGAATGTGACATTTCACAACTTAATAAGTATTTTAAGGAAAAATTATGTAAGGTTGAACTTCATCCAGTCGCAAGATATTGGCACATTCTCAGTAAATAAACAACCAAGGAATAATAGCCACTTGAAATGATATGGAAATCAAAACAAATTATACTTTAAATTAACATGAAATCATTTCCAGTGACATTTGGAGATCAGATTAAAGTGAAAGGGTAATGATTACATCTAATGTTGTTTACCAGTTGGTTGTGTAGCCCAATATCCTATATTCAATATACAGTTGTAGTTTTAAAAAAATAGCATAAGTTCAAAATTTAGGGAGGAAACGCTATGAAAATTAATTTCTGAAAATGAATACAGAGTATGAACTGTTTGATTGAAATATCTCCAATACACAAATTACATATTCAATTTATATTTATTGTTGTGCAAATATATTTTAGATAAATCTCAGAGGGAGATATATGTACTTTTGTATATTTTTTTGTGCACATTCAAGCATGAAAGCTAACATTTTATTTTTTCTACCTTTTTATGGACATTTGCAAAAAGAGTAAAATTCTGATTGTAATACAAACACTCTAAAGTTAATATTCAAAAATTGTTTGAGTTTTTGATTGCCAATATTTAAATATCCATGTAGTTTTTGGAGATCAAGTCTTTCAGAAATCCAGGAAATCCCTTGGGTACTGATTTTACCCCGTTATTAGCAGACCTGATTTTATATTCAGATGAAGCAGGATTTTTTCTAAAGCTTATACATGAGAAAAAAAATCGTGTGACCTTCAACCCAATCTTAAGATATATCGATGACGTATTCAT